TCATCTCATAGAAGCAGAAAAAGTATCTGACAAAAAAAATCAACACCCAATTATGATTAAAAAAATCTGCACAAAGTGGGTACAGAGGGGATATACTTCAACATAAGAAAGGCCACCTATGACAAGCCCACAGCAAACATCATACTCAGTGGTGAAAAGCTGAAAGCTTTTCCTCTAAGATCAAGAACAAGACAAAGATGCCTACTCTTGTCACTTTTATTCAAGACAGTAGTGGAGGCCCCAGCCACAGTAACCAGGCAAGGAAAAAAAGGCATCCAAATCAGAAAGGAAGAAGTAAAACTGTCACTATTTGCAGATAACATATTATAGTCAGAAAACCCTAAAGATGCCACCAAAACCCTATTAGAATAAATTAATTCAGTAAAATTGCAGGATACAAAATCAATACACAGAAATCTGTTGCATTTTTATACACATAACAAACTATCAGAGAAATTAAGAAAACAATCCTATTTTATCCTCTCCCAGCCCTGTACTTTTGGGATTTTTAAGGGAAGCTTCATCATGTAGGCCTCATCAATCATTAACCTCATTTTTAGCCCCTTTCCCTTCTCAAGAGAGTGGGGGATGGAGCTGAAAATTCCAAGCTTCTAATTATGGCTTGGCCTTTCTTGTGACCAGCCCCCACCCAAGAGCCATCCGGGAACCCACACAGAGTCACCTCATTAGAAAAAAAGATACTCCTGTCACCCAGGAGTTTCAGGAGCCCTGTTCTGGGAACCAGGGAGCAGAGACCAAAACGTATTTTCCATTATCTCACAAAACCATTACTCCAACTGTCAGCTCCGGGACCCTACCCACCTCGGCCACAGTCCATTCTGAAGTTAGGACTAGGCTCCAAGAGAAATGCAGAAAACCTGAGTCCCTCCCAGACTGTGGCTTCTCCCTCATATCCCCCTTCCAAATCTCTCCACAGTCATCAGGCACAACAGAACTACAAGGGAGTGTGGGAAATGTAGTCTTTCACTTTATAGCCTCCAGGATGTGGTAAGGCAGGCTTTGGGGTTGAAGACATCAATGTGAGAGGGTGCCCATCCGCTATATGCGTCACAGAGTTGTTTGAATTCTCTTGTCCACCTCTCAGGAGGATGAGGGGTACAGGCGTACCTTGTTTTCTTGTGCTTCACTTTACTGCCCTTCACTGATGCTATAGTTGGGTTTGTTTGTTTGTTACAAATTAAAGGTCTGTGGGAACGCTGAGTCAAGCAAGTCTCTAATAGAGACATTTTTTCCAACAGCATTTGCTCACTTTGTGTCTCTGCATCACATTTCGGTAATTCTACAATATTTCAAACTTTCTCATTATTATATTGCTTATGGTAATCTGTGATCAGTGATTACAACTCACTTGAAAGCTCAGATGATGGTTAGCATTTTTCAGCAATAAAGTATTTTTTAATTAAGATATCTACATTGGGGTTTTTTTTTCATGCTATTATACACTTAATAGACCACAGTGTAGTATAAACATAACATTTATATGCACTACGAAACAACAACAACAAAAAATTCACTTGACTGGTTTTATTGTACTATTCACTGTATTGCAGTAGTCTGGAACCAAATGAACCTCAGGTACACCTGTAGTGGAAAAGTAGGCAAAAAAGCAAGAATAGGTCTGCATATTCCAAAAACAAAGTTGTACTAACATTCCTTTATGGTCAAATGTATGTTGGGTTTTTGAAGTTCACTGAAATGTATGGGATTTATCTATCACACTATTCGGGAGGGGAAGAGCAACTAAAAATTCTTCAATCACTGGGAAGAATACTGCAGAATAAAATATTTGTTTCATCAGTTTTCAAAAAGTGGGGTAATTCATTATGTATTTTATTTTATTTTTTAAAAACATTTATTTATTTTTTGAGAGAGAGAGAGAGAGACAGAGCGCAAACAGGGAAAGGGCAGAGAGAGAGAGAAACACAGAATATGAAGCAGGCTCCAGGCTCCAAACTGTCAGCACAGAGCCCGATGCAGGGCTCAAACTCACGAACCGTGAGATCGTGTCCTGAGCCGAAGTCAGAGGTTCAACTGACTAAGACCACCCAGGAGCCCCCATTACGTATTTTAAAGAGAAAAAAAATAGTCAAGTTGCCTCCTAATAAATTTCTGGGGAAATAAAAATTTAAATATAAAGAAATCATAACTGTACTAGAAGAAAAATATTAAGACAACAATAAACTCAGAGTGGTAAAGCCCCGTCTAAGCAGAATACTAAAAGCAAAAAATCATTTGGAAACAGGCCAAAAGATATGACTACAAAGAAGTTTTAAATTTCACCACTGAAATACACACACACACACACACACACACACATTCAAAATCAAAAGACAAATAACAAGCCAGCAAACATATTCCTAACACACGTGACAAATATTTAATATTAATGCAAGAAAGATCCAACAAAGCAAAAGACAAACAGTTAAAAAATAGGCAAGGAGCATAAACTGACAAGGAATAAAAAGAAGACAAATATCCAAGTATCCATCAAAATTAGGATACAAACATTAAGCAACAAAACACCATTTTTAACATCTCAAATCGGAATACCAGTGTTGGTAAATAAGAATGTGGGAAAATGAGCAAACATTTTGCATACTCTTTCACCTAGAAATGCTGCCTTAGAAGAATTAGAAATATTTGAGCATAATAAATATTTGGTTACAAAGACATTTATTAGTATTTCTAACAGCAAAAAAAAGTAAGAATCTAAATTCTTATCTATTATCTGGCTAAACTATGGCACATCCATTCATTGGAAGATCTGTACCCACTAAATATACTGAGGAAGACTAAATGACAAAAGAGACTAAACGATAATAAAAGAAAAAGTTGTTTCCAAAAAGCATGCACATGAAACCCCAGTTTTGCTCCTCTCCCTTGCTCCATACGCTGCCCCAGAAAGGAAGAAAAAAAATATGTACACACACAGATCAAGGGACTGGCAGGAAGGTCGGTAACATATCAACAGTAATGAGACTACTGCAATTGATTTTTTCTTTATGCAAAGAGTATTACTCTAAATGTTTTACAGAGAATATGTACTACTTCAGTAATCAAAAGAAAAAATCAGTAAGGATTTATAACTAACTCACAAAAAATCATTTTGCAGAGCATAAATTCTAGTTAACAGAAATCGGAGTTTCAAGGGGCGCCTGGGTGGCTCAGTGGGTTAGGCGTCCAACTCTTGATCTCGGCTCAGGTCATGATCTCGCGGGATCTGACAGGATCTCATGGGATCCGACGGTTGGTGGGATCATGGCCCTGTGGTGACACCGCACAGCCTGTGTGGGATTCTCTGTCCTCTCTGTCCAGCCCCTGCTCATGTCTGCTCTCTCTCAAAATAAATAAATAAACTTAAAAAAAAAAACACCCAACACTTAAAAAAAGAAATAGGAATTTCAAGTTAAAATATATAATGGTTATTCTTGTGACTATACCTGTTTTCTATCATTTTCTTTCCCTCCATCACCAATGTATCCATTCCCATCAGTAAGTTTCCACCTGTCTATTTCCTTCTTCATTCACTAACTCATCAAAGCAGAGGTATGACCTCCTATCTTATCTTTTCTACTAAAACAGCTCACATCCATGTAGACATTTCTCCAGTATCAATGTGCACACTTAATCCAGCCTTCTCCCACACACGTTCTCAAAGCATCATACCTAAAAAAAACATGCAAGAAAAAAGACATACACAAACATATAATTGTAGTCAGAATACCCATATTAACACTAGTCCATAAATTTCTACTTAGGTTGCATACATACTCCTTATAGACACAGAGATACACGATCTTACAGCCTCAGAGACTCAGGAAAGGAAAGGTCTTTCGCCTTCCTGTCTGTATCCCGCTCATTCATCTTTATCCATCTCTCTTCTAAGCTCACCTAGAACTGCCACCTTCTGCGTCATTTGGAGAACGAACAAAGCCTCACACTTCCTTGGAATTTAGTAGATAATTCATACTCTGTTGTTCAATGCATACTCTTTTGTACTTTTGGAAGCACTCACAGTCTCCAGTGTAGAAACTCTAGAAGGGGAGGGCCCGTGGATTTGTTCTGCTCATCTCTATACCTGACACTTCACAGTATGCGGCTCTCAGGAGCACTCAATAAATGATTTAAGGACTAACACCACTGTTATTATTGATCCAAGTTTCTATAATACAGTTAAAGACCAGGCGCTGTGTTCCCCCTTTTACAATTTTACAAATGAGGACTGGAGCGGTTAGGAGGCGAGTCAAGCGGGGCCAGGCTGGAAAATAAGAAAATAGGGGTCTTTCCACCCACAAGAGATGATGTCACCCTGTCTGTAGACAAGTTTTGAGCTTCAAAGATTCTAGGGAAGGATTAGTATAACTAAAATACATTTATTGCAGCTTAGCTGCGTATTTTAAAACAGAGCATTAGGGGAAAATTAGCCAATGGGAAACTATCAAACCGTGCACCCGCACGGTTAACGACGAAAAAACTGCAGCAAGGAAACGAATTCTGGAAGTTTTTACAGGAGCAACTAATGAAATAATCCCCCAGGACAGACCCCCAAACTCACAAGAACAGAAACTTTAATCCCACATTCTTGGTGCGCCAGGACGGCCTCGGCTTCTTCAGAAAAAAAGGTCTTAGCTTCGGGACAGGAGTCTCACCGAATTCCTCCCCCACCCGGGGACCAGTGCGCCGGGGCGGCGGTCAGGCCTCACCTCCCCGCCCGGAATCCTATTCATCGCGAGCCTGCCGCCCCTGCGCTGCGCACGCGGAGGCCACGGCCGCCTGGCCCCAGGCCGGACTCCTCTGTGCCCAGCCCCACCTCAGGAAGGGGCAGGAAGGGAAGGCCTTGGGAGTCGGCAGGTAAAGACCCACAGGGCTGCCCACCCGCGGGGCCGCAGGTGCGCTCCGCGAGCGGAGTCCCCGGCGCGGCAGAGGCGAGTCCCAACGAGCTGGCAGGCCCCGGCGGAAGTTGGCCCGGCGCCACTGACCTGTCAGGCCCCACTGCCTTAGGTCCTGCTCTTGCACCCGAGCCCGCGCCGCCACGGCTCGGCTCCGGGTCTGAAGGGCCACTAAGAAGGCGGGCACGCGGCCACCACACGTCCCGGTACTCTCACGCTCCATCCAGCAGACAGGCTCCGCCCCGTGTCCGCATGCTCCCTCCAGCCTAGAGGGCTCCGCCCGGCGGCGCGCGCGCTCAGTCCAGCCCAGAAAGGCTCCGCCCCGCGGCGCGCGCTCCACCCAACCCAGAGAGGCTCCGCCCCGCAGCGCGCGCTCCATCCCGCCCAGAGAGGCTCCGCCCGCGGCGCGCGCGCGCTTCCTTCCCGACGCGCCGCGCCAGATCCGCGCGCGCAGCGGCCGCTAGAGGACGCGTCCTGCGCGGAGTTGTGGCCAAGAGCCGTGCTCGGAGTAAACCTTCAGGCTCAGTTCGTGTTCTTCCGGTTGCGCTCTGCATGCTCTCGGCTGGTGGGAGGTCAGACAGTGCTCGCCATTGTTTTATTACCAACATTGACTGTGCGCCAGGTACATACCTAAGTCTGGTGGGCTGTGGGATTATAGAATTCGGTACCACATGGTCCCTGCCCTCCAGCGACTCACAGCGAGACTGTAAAGGATAACGTACTCATTTCAGTTTGCACCAGGGATAAATTAGTTTGAGCCCCGAAATCCTCTTAATCTTTGCTGTTGGCTGTCGACCAAAGTTAGGAAACTCTGAGTGGTAGGAAATTAAAATCATAAACATTGTCATTACCACGACGGATTTCTCAAATGAATTATGGGGAGCAGATTGAAGCAACGTGCTAGATTAGGGGTCACCATGACAACACCAGTTTTGAGTGGATCTGTGATGTAGTAATTTATAATTTGAAGAGTACCACCAATACAAAATTATAACCAAATAACTGCAGTTAATGATGCAGTTAGAGGTCCTACCCTAAAGGTTTTACAAGTATTTAGTTTCTCATTTAACCCTTGCAGTAACCCTATAAATAGGTACTAGAATTGATCCCACTTTAGATGAGGACATCTGAAATCTTATTCAGATGTGGTAATAATGTGACATTACCACATTATTCTCTGGGTAATGTCATCAGGATACTAGTCCCGTTTAGGTTAACCTGGGTGCTTCTCTCTCCTGTAAATTCAGATTAAAGATCCACTCCCTCGCTGCTGGACCAGTTCGGTGGCAATGGAGGGGTGAGTAGTGGTCAGATACTAGAAAAATTGAAAAGGTAGAGTCTATAAGGTACACAGACAGATTGAGCATCTGAGAAAAGTCCAAGAATAAAGGATGGTTTCAGGAATTTAGCCTGAGCGAATGGTAGAAAGGAGTCTCCATTTATGGAAGGGGTAAGACGGAGAATGAGGAGGTTCAAGCAACAATAAGAATTCATTTTTAACATCAGCTATACTTCAATTTAAAAAAAGAATTCATTTTTGGACACAGTAGCATGGAACCTTTCTTAGATATAGCCAAGTGGAGATTTTGAATAATCAGGTAGATTAGTCAGGACTTCGCAGGAGAGGATGGAGCTGAATGTATTAATATGGAAGTCATCGTTTTCACAAGGACCTTAAACCTTGGTACTAGTTGGGAACTCCTAGGGGATGACTGGAATTATAAAAGAAATTTAGCCTTGGACAACTAGCATTGATGAGTGGAGATGAAGATCAGGAAACAACAGGAAGAGCCTAGAAGCAGCAGCTTGTGAGATAGTGGGAGGACGAAGAGCATGGTGTCCCTGAAGTCAAATAAAGAGAAATTTCAAGAAAAGGGGAGTGATTATCTGTGTCAAATGCAACTGAGAGATGAGCTAAAGATAGGATAAAGAAATACTAGATTGGGCGATATGGTGGTCATTGATGACCTTGCCAAGAATGATTTCTTTTTTTTTAAGTTTATTTTTCTTTTTTTTTTTTAATTTTGAGAGAGAGGATACAGAAGGGGCAGAGAGAGGGAGAGAGAGAAAAATCCCAAGTAGGCTCCTCATTGTCAGTGCAGAGCCCAACACGGGTCTCAAACTCAGGAACCGAGAGATCATGACCTGAACCAAAGTCAGACACCCAACTGACTGACTGAGCCACCCAGGCACCCTGCCAAGAATGATTTCTATATATTGCAAAGTCAAAAGCCTGATTGGAGTGGGTTTCAAAAAGAGAAGAGGAGGAAAGAAAATGGAGACAGAAGTCACACTTCTCTTTCAAAGGGTTTTGCTGTAAGAGGAAGCAGAAAAATGGGAGCAGTAACTGAAAGGAGATATGGGGCCCAGAGGAGGGTTGTTTTGTTTTCGGATGGCTGCTATTAGAGCATGTTGAATACTGATGGGAATGATCCAGTAGAGAGAAAAACTGATTTACAGGAGTGATGTCCTGGAGTGAGAGGAGGTGGGAGTCAGTGCCCAGTGGAGGGGGCCAGTGCACAGTGGAGGGGGTCAGTGCCCAGTGGAGGAAGCCAGTGCACAGTGGAGGGAGCCAGTGCCCAGTAGAGGGAGCCAGTTCCCAGTAGAGGGGTTGACCTGGATGAGAGCACAGACAGTTCATGCACCGGAACACGCAAAGGCACAGTACACAGATCTGGTAGTGAAAGGATGCGCAAGATCTCTTTTGACTGTTTCTGTTGCTTAAGTGCAATGAGAAACAAGGTCATCAGACAACCTTGAAGAAGCAGAAGGAGATTTGAGAGGTTTCAAGAGGAAAATGTGTGAAATAGTTGTCTGGGAAGTGGGATAGTGAATTGACTCGAGAAATATGGTAGCATTGCCAAGCAGCAGCAAGGCTTATGGTCCTGAGACCAGCCAACATGGTGTGTGTTGAGTGCAAGTGGGGCATAGTTAGAAAACTGGATTTTACAAGGGTTGGATGTTTCCTAGATGAGAGTAGACAATGATTACATGGGCCATATCTGCAGTGTCTAGAACAGGGGTGAACAAGGCAGAAAAAGTCTGCACGTATGGAGCCTAGATTCTAGTGAGGGAGAAAGACAAAAAGTGGGATCGTACGAGGTATCAGGTAGTATTGGTGCTAACAAGATAGCAAAACAGGGTAATGATATTAGGAGTAGGGCTGAGAAGCAGCTCGGAATAGGGTGGATTAAAGTGCATGTCACCAAGCAGATAGCATTTGAGCTAAGATCCAATGATGAGAATCCGGCTGTATGAAGTCAGGAAGAAGAGTGTTTAAGGCAGAAACCACAGGGAAGAGGCACTGAGGCAGGATTAGCAAAGGAATAATAGATTCTTTAGATTGATGAGGGTATTCTTGAGGGGACTTGGTCATTGACTGGATATAGGGCTGAGGAAGAAAGAAGTGTTGACATTGACTCCAGGGGTTTCTGCCTTGGAAGACTGGGTGGATGTTGATGCCAGAACTGAGACAGAGAATACAGGAAATAACAGCTGATTTGAGGAAAGGAAGATAAGGATTTCACTTTTGGGATATGTTGAATTTGAGAATGCCTGGGTAGCTCAGTTGGCTAAGTGTCTGACTTGATTTCAGTTCAGGTGGTGATTTAACAGTTGTGAGATGCAACCCCATGTCGGGCTCCCTGCTGGACTTGGAGCCTGCTTAAGAGTCTCTTTGTCCTTCTCCCCCTGCCCCTCCCCCGCTTACTCACATGCATTCTCTGTTTCTCTCCCTAGAAAGAAAGGATATGTTGACTCTGTCCCTAGAACAGTGCCTGGCACATATATGCACTCAAGAAGCATTGCTGAACGTTTAAATAAGGTGCCTATAGAACAGTTCTGAAGTTTGAGACCCATGAAGCACAGAGAAGACATTATTTCCCAAATGGGCAAACTAAGGCACAGAAAGTTTGGGCAACTTGTCCAATGTCTTTGAGTAAGTCAATGCTAACTGCTTGAATAAACTCTAACTCCGTTCCTTTAGTCTTCATTGCTCAGGTTACATAATGACTGTTTCATTAATTCTTTGTTTCTTTTTCCACAGAGATGTAAATCCTCTGGCAATACCAACCCAGTACAATTAATGGTAACCAGATCATGTGATAGGTCTCCCCATCTTCCCACTCTACAAAAACAAATGGGATCAAGCACAGGTTAGCAAACAAGTTGTTGTTCGTTATGTGCCTGTTGTGTAACAGCGGGACACCAGCTGGCAGCGTGCAGTTAACCAGTTATAGAGCCTGAATGGAAGCTGCGGCAGGGATGAAAATTCATACAGACCTCTTCCTGAGTACGTGGACATGGATCTTTGGGTTCAGGTTAGGCTTAGGCCATGACCTTCAAGTGGAAAGATCATTCTACTGGAATGAAAGAGAAGAGTTTTCTTTCTCCCAACAAAGGAGACTCCTGACATTATTAGACATTCTTTGCATCAAATAACATATAATAAATTTAAAACCCAGAAATTCAGGTACTTTAGAGCATACACATTTATCAACTAAGTAAATCTGGTTTATAAGAGTCTAGTCCAGCCACTTTAGAAAACTGCCACTCCTCTTTAATCCCAAAGGTAAGGGCAAAGCACTGAAATATTGTCAAAGAAATCTTTGAGGACAAAGTACAGAGATTGTAAACTGGCCCCAGCTCACAATCTGCCCACAGGTATTTTGGTTTCTGTTGGGAGCCATTCTGAGCCCACTAGTTGAGAAAACTCCTGGTGAGGTTAAAACAAGTTCTCACGGTCTCTTGCCAGTCAGATGATGACCGATAGCCACCCCCCCCCACTCAGGTGTTTCTGCTTGAGCACTGACCCCTAAGGTACCTTGCTGATCAGTATCTGGAGTGGCTTGTCCCCTTATTCCCCCCCTGGTATGATGATTGCACCTTGTGAAGGAACTTGTTGTGGGAACTTATTGTTTTGATTATGGGAACAGACATCGTGTCTCCAGCAGGTCCTGTTTCCCTCCATACTTTCCCTTGAACTATGCACAGGCTAATGACCCTTACTCATAAAAGACTAACCTTTACATGTATAATCCTGTTTCTACCGTTGTCTTAGTCCAAGATGTTCATACAGCTCAACACGTAAATCAGCTAACCAAAAATGTCTCTCATGCCCTAACTATTCAAGAAATCATAAAAGTAGACACAAAGGTAAATGCACTCAAAGAGGCTATTCTGTGTATTGGAAATAAGCTAAACTCTTTAAAGGTATGGTTGGCTCTCTGGTGCAATAAAGCATATA